GGGAAGGCTTCTTAAGGAGGGGCCTCACCACCGCCTCCTTAAGGGCCGTGGGGAAGACACCCTCCCACAGAGAAGCGTTTATAATTCCCTGAAGCCAGGCTCGTGTACCCTCCCGAGCCGCCAGTACCAGCCAGGAGGGACACGGATCCAGTAAACATGTGGTTGCATTCAGTCTCCCCAGGACCCTGTCCACGTCATCAGGAGTCACAGAGTCAAACTCCTCCCAAATAACAGTCTCAAGACCTGCTCCTGTCACCTCCCCCGGGGCCACCCAGTCGGAGTCCAGACCCTCTCGGATCCGAGCGACTTTGTCAAATAAATAAATAAATAAATATATTCCCTTTTTAAAAATCTTTTTCTTTGCCATCAGATATATTTTGCAGGGGTAAAAGGTCTTTTGCATTTTCATTGTTATAGCTAAGTCTTGCAGTTCATTTATCTCTTCCATCTCTAAATCCATTTCCTCTGTTTCGTCTTCTGATTTCTGGATTATTTGTTCATACTTTGTAGTCATTATCTGGGAGCTTTCTAGTTGTAGATTTAATTTGGAGATTTACTTGTTTATATTGTCTAAATTGTTTTTAGTCTCATTATGATTTCTTTTATATTCTCTTTGCATTCAACAATTGTTTGGTGAATTAGTTGTAACACAGAATATATTTATTTCTGAAAAGTGTTTGTTTTTTCTCCTGCCTTTCCACAATAGACCTTTCATGAGAAGCTTTCAAAATTGCTCACTTCCCCTAGAAATAGGGGGACCAACAATTTTAATGTGTATCTGAGCTACTTTGACATCGACATCCTGGACTTGAAGTTATATCCTAATTTCCTTTCTTTAAAATGTCATACTGTACTCCAAATAATCTGTAATTGTAATAATTCTGAATACAAATTTATTACATGGTTGGTTTAATTTTCTTGTTTGTTTCCAGTGAAGGTGCAGTTATTTGTAATGCAGACAGTTATTTTATTCAGTGTCAAAATATTTTGCATAAAATCAGGCTAGTTAACCCACAGCAAGAGATTGATGGTCTTCACAACATCTGGATCATTAAACCTGGAGCAAAATCCCGTGGCAGAGGTAGGATTATAAAAAAATATTATTATTATTAAAGATTATTAAAAATCTACGTTTTTGTGGAGCCATGTATTGAGAACAATGTTATACCTTAAAATCAAGAAGTTGTGAAACCAATGAGAAATTACCAAAGAAATTAATGTAACACTCATAATGCTACCTACTTTGATAATGAAACCTTCAAAGAAGAAACCAAGATCAGCAAACATCAACATCCCAACAAAAAAAGTAAATGCTGTTGTGTCCAAATCTATACTCTTAATAAAACATTATTACAAGATTTTCCATTTCAGGTTTGATAAAGAGCAACACAATTTTTAGTATTAGTTAAACTTTCGATTGAAAATACCAAGTAGCAGTGATCAGGCAGCACAATGCTTGTGAATAATATGCAATATTCTTATCAATGCTGATGTATCCTGATGCCCAAAGGATAATTCTCCTATCTTTTTCTCCAGAAATAGTATGCAAAAATCGACTGGATGAAATATTGAAACTTGTTGAACCAACTGATCAATTTCCAATTAAAGATCATAAGTGGGTTGTCCAAAAGTATATAGAGAAACCACTCCTCATTTATGATACAAAATTTGATATTAGGCAGTGGTTTCTTGTAACAGATTGGAACCCACTGACTATATGGTTCTACAAAGAAAGCTATCTGAGATTTTCAACTCAACGCTTTTCCTTAGAAAATCTTCACAGGTAACCAAGATTATACTTCTAATTTTGATTGTATGATATGTGATTATGTGTATGGATAATATCCTATAGAGGGATTTATTTCAGGCAAATAATTATTTATTTAAAATATTTATGTGGCTGCCTATTAAAAACAAAAACCTGGCGCCAGATCAGACTTCTACTGTGTGATTATCTAGTCTTCTCTTACCTTTTGGGGGCAAAACATTTGTATTTCTTTAATGTTACATTAGATCACAGAATAATTTCAATATACTCATGATTACTTTATTTTTAAAATGATGCTGAATTACAAGTAGTCCCTTCTGGTTAGTACTTATATATTTTTTTCAAAGTAAGAGGGGAAAAAAAGTAAGTTCAATGGATAATTCTTACAATTTTCCCCTGGTATTTATGTTCATGTTTTATATTTGGTGTAATCTCTACACAAGACTAACTGGTCTCTTTAATTTCCACAGCTCCATTCATCTTTGTAATAATTTCGTCCAGAAAAATTACAAAAACGCATCAGATCGTAGTTCTCAGTTGCCATATCACAACATGTGGTCCAGTAGCAAATTCCAAGAGTATTTGCAGAAGAGAGGCCTTGGCCATGTTTGGTGCAACATCATCTATCCATCTATGAAAAAAATCTTAATATACATAATAAAGATGGCTCAGGAGCAAGTGGAACCACGAAGGAGCAGCTTTGAACTGTATGGAGCGGATTTCATTCTTGGCAGTGATTTCAAACCTTGGTTGATTGAAATCAACAGTAGTCCAACTATGCATCCTTCTACTCCTATTACAATGGACCTTTGTGCTAAAGTGCAAGAAGACACAATCAAAGTTGTGCTTGACAAGAAGCTTGACAAAAATTGTGAAACCGGAAATTTTGAACTTCTGTGGAGGCAAGTAAGTAGTGTTTCATTTTGTTCCACAGCTGAATAGTATACAAAACAGTTCAATTATAACTACTGTCTATCTAAATATGGTTAGAGAAATTAGAACCATGGTTTCAGAATATGAATAATAATGGAGAAATATCAAATTCTACTTTCAGGAAAAGGTCCTCTCCTCATGCAAATAATAAATTTTAGTAAGTTTGAAAGCATTTTGACATAGTGCTGGTTTAGTGTAGGAATTATACTATTTTATTTCCCTGGGTGTCTTTAATAGATTCTAATGGTAATGGTTTATCTTTTTTAGGCTTGCTAATATAAAGTCAAACATTTTTTGTTGCTATTCTTAACATTTATTACATGGGGTTGCAGGTTCCACTTGCTTTTGCTGAGTTGTAGCAAAGCGATCAATGCACGATATAACAAGAGGCTCTGTTCATCAGTCAGCTTGTCACAAACCTTGATGCCAATTAGAGCTAAGAGAAGTGGCTGGCCCACAATCATTTAGCTCAGACATGTCAAACTCGTGACGTCACGTGACATCGTGCAATGTATCGGCCAGTTTTTCCATTGCCGGCAATGGGGTGGGCGCGGCTTCTGGATGACACGTCCAGCCCACGGGCCAGTAGTTTGACACCCCTGATTTAGCTGATTCCCATGTCTAAAGGAAAACAAGAACCTGGATTTTCCCATTCTCATTCCCTAACTACAGGTAATCCTCGACTTATGATCACAATTGAGCCTAAAGTTTCTGTTACTAAGTGAGACATTTGTTAAGTGAATGTTGTCCCATTTTACATGTTAAGTTAGTAACATGGTTGTTAAATGAATCTGGCTTCCCCATTGACTTTGCTTGTCAGAAGGTCACAAAAGGTGATGACTGACCCCGGGACATAGTAACTGTGATAAATATTAACCAGTTGCCAAGTATCTGAATTTTGATTATGTGACCATGGGGATACTGCAACGGTTGTAAGAGTGAAAAATGGTCATAAGTTACTTTTTTCAGTGCCATTATAATTTCGAACAGCTACTAAATGAACTGTTGTACCATAAGTCAAGGATACCTGTATTCCATTATGCTAGCTTTCATAAATTTAAACTATTAAAATACATTACATTGTGTGTAGCTCTCCTTTTGTTTTTAGTGCACCTAACAAAACACTTCCCATTGCTCATTTATTCTGAAAACTCCTCTGAAATGTAAATGCAACCCCTTCCCCAAATAATAATTGGCTCTTTTTTGATGTTCCTACCAAACGTGGTTGTGGAAAGATTTTGAAAAGCAGAAGTGGTGAGGAGAGAGAGAGTTTAAACTTCCCTTATGCATGAGGTGGCCTCAGACAGGTTAAGGCCCCTGCTTGTATCAATTAGTATAAATGCATTGAATCACTAAGTATTCAGCACAATCAAATGAAGGTTAATACATAATCTTGGAAAGGAATGATAGCTCTGATTATATCAAAACATCAGGCTCCAGGACTGATTATGAGGACTCGCACCAGGGAAATGTTTTCCAAGATTTTTGGAATACCTCTTTGGAAATAAATTTAGAAATATAAAATAAAATTAATTATTTCTAAATAAATTTTTATTTAGAAATAAAAAAGTGTGGCATAGTGGTTAGGGTGTTGGCCTACAAAGCAGGAGACTGTGAGTTCTAGCCCCACCTCAGGCATGAAAAATTGGCTCGGTAATGTTGGACCACTCATTCTCTCAGCCCAACTCACCTTACAGAGCTATTGTGGAGAAAATAGGGAAGAAATGCTGATATATTTTCCACCTTGAGTTATATATGAAAAAAAAAGCAGAATAAAAATCTAAAAAAAATGAGGCCGGAAAAATAAACTGGATGTTCAACAGATATCTAGAGGAGTCATAATTATTTTTAGATGGGAACTAACAGGCCTTTTCCATTTCTCCATTAATCCACAACTCAGAGAATAAGCATTTCTTAACTAATACCTATTTTATTAAGACAAAATTGTAAAACTAGTAATGAAACATTGGCTTTGTTTTTTTTTTATTCTGTAGCCCATGTTGGATATGCCACCATTTAATTCTACAGACCTCATTGTGGAAGGAATCGGTGTTAAGAAACTGAAAAAGCATGTGGTCATCAGTAACTTCAATTTTATTGAACCCTTGTTGAACATAGTGCAGCCTTCAACTAATCAGGAAAGTAAAGGAGATTCAATTCCACCTATCAACGAGAAGCATATCATAAAAGTAAAACATGGAAATAGCACTCTTTGCACCTTGCCAAAGACCCTTGAGAAGAAGTCTGAAAAAAGCACTAAAGTAAAGTCGACTAACAAAAAGCACATCAAAATCATAGACTTCCCTCACATAACTATTCTCCAAGAAGCAGCAATCATGCCTGATAAAAAAAAGTCCAAGGCAATTAAAGAACCCAGACAGCAGACTGGAAATCAAGCAGCCACCAGCTTTCCAAATTCAAATTCATTAGACTGGGCATTACTTCAGCCCTCTAAAAATACAGGTAAAATAAATATGTAAATCATACACAGACACACATAGACACATAAACTATTTTGATTTCATTCAAATAATTTTGATAAATTTCCCAGTTCTCCCTCTTAGTAAACCACTTTTGTATTGCCAAAATATTTGCACATTTGTGTCCACATAAGTCATCAGGAGTCAAGCTTGATTCAAAGGCAATTTAACCTTAAACCTTCGGCACACAAATCTTTAGGTGATATGTATTGTCATGGGGCAGAGGTTAAGCATTGTGTTCTCTGTGCCACATTTCCCTTTTCGAATTTTTCCTGTCTGCACTAAGAAACATGGAGACATCATGTAAATTCTGCTGTGAAGCAACTATCTCCTTGATTGCATTCTCAAATGGTGAAGGTGGGAAACCTCCTTTCCCACCCTTGCATTTCCAATTTGACTGAAACTCTTTGGTGTTTCTTTTCTTAAAAAAATAACTTAGAACAGGGCTTTTCACCCTTTTCACCCATTGTACCACTTTTAGGATATGGCAACATCCGAGTACCACCAGTCGCCTAGCAAGGTGTCAAAAACTTGATGACCAAAAAAAAAAAAAAGGAAAAAAGTGATAAAGTACAGGTAGTCCTCGACTTACAACAGTTTGCTTAGTGACTGTTCGAAGTTACAATGGCCCCAAGCCACAGCCGAGCAAGACACCTTCCTGCCCAACCAGCAACACTCTTTCTCCTGTCCGAGGTTTCCATTGTTGTGAGCATTTCTGTTGAGGATTGGCAGCGGGGGTGGGGTGGGGTTTTTTGGTTTTTATTGCCCCCGTCTGCTGGGTGGTTGCAGCAGGTTTTGGTCACTTCACATGACCCTGGGACACTGTGACCATCATAAATATGAATCAGTTGCCAAGCATCTGAATGTAAATCACAAGACCCTGGAGATGCTGCAACATTCCAGCTGACTGGTGCTTCTTCAGGGCTCAGCAGTAGCACCAGGATCAGCACCGAGCTCCAGCTGGATCCTGGCGTTGATCCTGGTGCTTCCGCTGAGCCCTGAGAGCCCTGCAGCTCCAGTCATCTCTCGCTCAGGCTTGTGCGGTGCTGCCACCAGTTCAGCTCATTCCCCTCCCCCGCTACCACTTTTCTAGGATGATCGTGTACCACCTGCCAGGTGCCAATGTACCACAGGTGGTACCCATACCACTGGTTGAAAAGTCCTGTCTTAGAAGGTCCAAATCTAATCTTCAAAATTGCATCTGTTTTGTTGAAGAATTGTACCCCTAACAAATTATTATAATCTCTTTCTTTTAAATAAAGAAGGGCATTCATAGCTAACTCAGGAAACCTCTTATAAAGACGAAGCGTTCCTCTTAATGGAGAAATGGTTCTTAAGGGAATTGCCAGGTGGGAATAATCCCCACTTTCTATTTTATTGAAGACTAATTTCTTCACAATGAAGCCATTGAAGCCTGATTTTGCACACTTGCAATATGAGATTACATCCTCATGCAGGATGCTAACATTTTAACATATGAATGGATAGATTCACCCATGTCATTTTCCTTGTTAACTAGAGATGCTTTGGAAGTGTCAATGAAATAGCACTACATTTCACTGCTTAATATAACCATGGTGGTAAATTGCTCACTACCATCTTTATTTCTTGCATTTCTCCCAGGGGATTACTCAGCTTTTTCTTCTGTTACTCACCATCAATACAAATCCACTACACATGTTTAAATTATATATACAGCATTTGGGACTGTACTTAGAGATGCACGTAAGACTTTTGGCATGATATATACAGAAAATCAGCTACTTTTTCTTCCCTTCTTTTTCTCCCTTGACTGGGCAAACTCAAAAAACTGAACACTATTTTACAACCTTGGGTTGGATTCTAAAAACAACTGCTATAAAATAATGCTAGGGAGATATTTGTGTACTGTTCACAAGGCATGATGGGTTTTCCTTTTTTACTGGACCAGTGTCTTTTATTTGTTCCTTTTAAAAAAAATATATATCCTTTTTATTAGTTTATAATATAAAATACAAAAATACAAAAGCAAATAATAGGAAAACTAGGGGAGGGGAAAGTATAGAAAAGGAGGGAAAAAGAAAGAAAAGCCATTGACTTCTGAATCCCTTTGGTGCAGTAGGGTAAGTTAGTAACATCAAGCTTCAACTTTCACATAATAGTATAAACTAGCCATTTCTATAACAACAGATCTATTTAATCAGTAAAACCCAAAATCAAAATTTCATTTTTTTCCACCTCAAGCACAAAGTCCAGAAGGGGTTTCCAAATAGAAACAAAAGTAATTGTGTGTGTGTTTTCTTTTATTGAAGCAGTCAATTTAGCCATCTCTGCTAACTCCATCAGTTTTTGCACCCCTCCATCCATTGAAGCGTCCTTCCATTTTTGTGCATAAAGTAATCTTGCTGCCGTCAACATATATAACATCAAAGTTCCAACATTTTTTCCCCAAGTCTTTTTCCATTAAACTCAAAAGAAAGGTTTCTGGTTTTTATCTATAATATTCACTTTTAAAATCTTCTGTATTAGAATATAAATCCTACTCCAATATTTATTTGCTTTATCACATGTACACCATAAATGATAAAAAGTCCTTTCTTTACATTTGCATTTCCAACATTCATTTGAAATACCTTTATACATTCTTGGTAACTTATCTGGTGTTAAATACCAATGATACATCATCGTATAAAATTTTTCTTTTAAATTCTAATTTAATGTAAATTTTAAACCTTTTGCCCACATATTCTCCCATTGTTCAAGATGTATATTATATCCAAAATTCCTTGCCCATTGAATCATACAATGCTTTACATATTCGCTTTCCAAATTCAAATTCAATAATGTTTTATAGACTTTAGCAATAATGTATTCATCACTACCACACATAGGATTTTCAATTCATTTTTAACAAAATTCAAACCCATAAGTCTTTTTGTCTAATTTAATTCTTTCTTTCATTGTAAATATGTAAACCAGTGGCAGACATGTCCTTCTGATTCTAGCTCTTCCTTAGACCTGAGGATAGGATCATCAAAATTAAAAGATATTACTTTACCATAAGTCCACCAGTCTGGCTTTGGCACCATTTCTTTTCTTAAAAAAAGCTTCCTGGGGGGGACACCCAAAGGGGCATCTTCATAAAAAAACCTATTTATTCCAAACTCTTAGAATGGCACATTTAACAAATTAGTTGTTGAAATCAACATTTACTTTAACCTTGTCATACCATTAATAACAGTGCCATCCAAATCTTAATTCAGGGTCTTCAAGTAGCCTCTTATTCTAGAGGTTCACCCCCACTCTTTTAGCCAGACTAAACAACAAGCATTGAAATACAGTTTCCGATCTGGTAAACCCAAACCCCCTCTTTCCTTAACATCTTTCAGTAGTTTATATCTGATTCTTGGCTTTTTTCCCTTGCCATATAAACCTAGGTCTAGTGTCTATTGATAAAAGAGAATAAAAAAATCCCCATAGGCTGTCAAAATAATAACAAAGAGGGGATGAAGGATGAACAGCTTCATATGAATCATGAGTAACACTATGTACTGATTATTTATTTATTTATTTATTTATTTAATTACATTTATATCCCGCCCTTCTCCTTTCGGACTCAGGGTGGCTAACAATCAATTAAAATACAAAAAATACAAAACCCCTGTTAAAATTAATTAAAACGAAATATTTAACTGTGATCTAATTAAAAGTAATTAAAACCCCTTTAAAATCCCTTAGGCCAGTCCCGCAAGCTGGAACAACCATGTCTTGAGGGCGCGGCGGAAGGAAGGGAGATCAGGGATCACCCTGATCTCTGGGGGCNGCTGACGGCACCCTGAGGAGACCCACTCTGTGGGAGCGTACAGGTCGGTGGGAGGTAATCTGTGGCAGGAGGCGGTCTCGAAGGTAACCAGGTCCGATGCCATGGAGCGCTTTAAAGATGATAGTCAGCACCTTGAAGCGCACCCGGAAGGCCACCGGCAGCCAATGCAGCTCGCGCAAGAGCGGTGTAACATGGGAGCAACGAGTCCCTCCCAACACCGCCCGCGCGGCCGCATTTTGAACTAGCTGGAGCCTCCGGGTGCTCTTCAAGGGGAGCCCCATGTAGAGAGCATTGCAGTAGTCCAGGCGGGAAGTGACAAGAGCATGTAGTCCGCTATTTACAACCACAATTAAGCTCAAAATTTCTGTTGCTAAGAGAGACATTTGTTAACTGAATTTTGCCCCATTTTATGACCTTTTTTAATCACAATTGTTAAGTGAATCCTGGCAGTTGTTAAGTTAGTAACACAGTGGTTAAGTGAAACTGGCTTCCCCATTGACTTTGCTTGTCAGAAGGTCACAAAAGGTGACCCTGGGACGTAGTAACTGTGATAGATATGAACCAGTTGCCAAGCATCTGAATTTTGATCATGTGACCATGGGGATGCTGCAACAGTTGTAAGAGTGAAAAATGGTCATAAGTTACTTTTTTCAGTGCTGTTGTAACTTCTACTAAATGAACTGTTGTAAGTTGAGGACTATCTGTATATGCTTTTAGGGCGAACAATTAATTAAAGAGGTAACATCTAAAGCTTGGAAATTGTTGGAAGCCCAACTTCTAATAGTTAGAGAAAGTTTTATGTGTATTTCATTTAAGAGTCCAAATACCCTTGACCCAAAGACCACTTCTTTTTGTTTTACTTTTTATTTTGTAGAAACACATTAAGTGGGACACATTAAGCTATGTGATTCAGTGTTGATAGGAATTATTGTTTGCTCTCTATTTAAAGGTCTACAGAACGAAACCAAGAAGACTCCATGCCTAGTTTGTGGAGATGGTTTCCAGTCGGAGAAAACTTGTAAACGCTGCAGCTCTTTTTGTGCAACTGTATTACAAGGAGGTTCATACTTACCTATGAGTCCGTGTTCTGCTCCTGAAAAGATGGCCAAGACCAGGGTGGCTGCTCCATATTATGGGTTTCCAAAATACTTTTGACTCTATTCAATGTGCCTTGAGATAGTGTTTTTTTTTAACAACCAATTCCCTAAAAGATAAAACAGAACTCAAGAACCATCATTGTATTTTAAAAAAGTCCTCGTAAAAAAACCCAAACCTGTGCAATTCTGTGATAGGAATTTGACAAAATGTTGTTATTGGTATAACTCTTACCATTCAACATTTATGGGCAGCATAACAGCACATCAGCCTTACCAGTATTTGGATGGACATATTTAAATAGGAAAAGTCTCTTCTAGAAAGGTGATTAGCACCAGGGAAGTAGTGGATTTTGTAGACAGAACTGATTTTTAGGATTCTTCCAAATTGTAGCCTAATCCTGATTGATGCCTGTGTGTCAATTGGCTAGAAATAAAGTCAGCTTTTCAGATTTCAGTCCCTTTGTCCATTCTGGCTATTGTGATGTCCAGTGTTCTTTCTGGACCATTTTCACCATGGCTCCTGATTGGTGGATTACTCTTCTTTATCATCCCTTTTGAGGAAAGAAGGAAGGAAGGCAATGGACACTATAGACCCATGTTACTTTGTAGTCATATGGAGTGGAGAGATTTAGTTATTGTAGGCAAATCAGCCATCAGTGCTTGACTAGCATAAACTGGAAAACACCACATTTGACATGAAACAATAAAAATGAGGAAAGATAGCCGAAGAGATTCTTCCGGTAATGATAATACAAGTCAAGTTAGCGTCTTATTAAGAAGGGATTGCTATATTGATTTTTTGCTTTGTCAGTAGTAAACCTGTGTGGCAAAACACTGAATGACACTAGTTTATGATACTAAAAGAGGTTGCAGATCTGCAAAGAGATGAAAATGAAAAATCTGATGAAATACTGGCATACTGGTCTCTGCTTGCTTTACACTTTGAAAAACTGTTTTCAGATTCTGCCCAAGGTCCATAGCTGAATTATGAAGAGTAGTTAGGATAAAACCTTAAGTAAGCAGACTGGGTTATTGCTCTGTGCTCTACATGAAGCCCACCTGGAAGCTACAGCTGATACAAAATGCCTGAGCAATAATGTCTGCCTTCCTGTATTCCTATGTGTCACCACTGCTATGTGAGCAGCATTTGTGTTGTGAGTTAGGCTTCTGGGTACAATTCAAAATGCTGGACATTACCTATAAAGTGCTTTATTAGTTCTCAAGTCCCCAAGCCCAATCGTCAACTGTTTCTGCCTGCCCAATATGTTCCAGCAAAATCGTACATTCCAGGTCCTTTCTATTAAATGTTGTCATTTTGTGGGAGAGAGTCCAGACAATGCTCTCTCTCTCTCCTATGGTTCCCCAAAGCAATTAAGACCTGCCTTCAGTCACAGGCCTGGGGTTGATATTTTTGTAGGGCCTCTCATTTCACTTCATTTGTTATTGCTTGATTGGCTTTAATCTGGGCTGCCTGTAAAATTGTATGATTTTAACAGTTTGTATTGTTTTGCATTCACCAATGTGCGTGGTTGGCTATACAGGTAGCTCTTGACTTAACAACCACAATTGGGACCAGATTTTCCATTGCTAAACAAGGTGGTTATTAAGTAAGTCCTGCCCAATTTTACTACCCTTTTTGCCATGGTTAAGTGAATGGCTGCAGTTGCTAAGTGAATTGGGCAGTGGTAAAGGAATCTCATTGGCTTTGCTTGTTGGAAGCTGGCTGGGAAGGTCACGAATGCGATCACAGGACCCCAAGATGCTGCAACTGTCATAAATACATGCTGGCTGCCAAGTGCCTGAAAGTTGATCATGTGACCAGGGGGATGCTGCAACAGTTGTAAAGGTGAAGACACTTTATAAGTCACTTTTTCAGTGCCATTGTAACTTCGAACGGTCATTAAACAAATTGTTTTACGTTGAAGACTACTTGTAACTTAATAATAATAATAATAATAATAATAATAATAATAATAATAATAATAATAATAATAATAATAATAATAATAATAATAATAATAATAGTAATAGTAATAAAAAAATAAGAATAATCCTGTTTTACTATTTTCATGTGGTCAATCTCAAAGACAATTTGAGGTCTAGATGCAAACCTTTATAATATACATTAATTGTTTCGACAATTTAAAATATGTGATTTTTTTTTTAAAGTGAACTACTTGTTCACTAAACTATTAGGCTAAAATTTATGGTTGCATGTTCACTACCCTGAACAACAACAACAATGAAAGAAAGCACCATTGGAAAAGAACTGTACTTTTCCTTATTTTCCATTCTTCTTCCAGCAACATACTGTATCTACGCTATTATTTTTGCTGGGAGTCAGTTGAACTTTGAAATGATGCTTCTCCAGGACTGGGTGCTAGTTTGTTCAGAGTTCCTCTGAAATGTCTACGCCATATGGTCCTCAGCAGTGCAAACAGCTCAGACCTTACCATGGACTAATCAGACCATTTGTACTTGTCAGTGTAATACAATTTTGGGGAAAGCTTTTACTCTTCAAAATTGTTTGAAATATAATACCCAAAAAATCTCAATCCCCTCAGCCAACTCAGGCAAGTAGGGAATGTACCCACTGACATCCTTTGGGTTATGAAGAATCCTGGGAATAGGCCAGGTGGTCACTAATCAAAGAAAATCTGACAATTAATTGAGGCCTGGATTATTCATTTGTAATCTGTGTATCTAACACATTTTATCCTTGTATAAATACAATTAGGAAACATTAGTACTCGAATTTCCCTCTTAATTGAAGACAACATTGGTCAAGACTGCTATTTTAA